GTAGTAGTAGTAGAGAGAGAGAGAGAGAGAGAGAGAGAGAGATAGAGAGAGAGAGGGGGGGAGGCGTAATCAATAGAAATGCTAGAGGGAGAAACGACACCAAGGCCAAAAGATTACAAGTTCCCCAGGGAGCCCATTATACATTTACTCCCTTGGATAAAAGTCTTAAGGTATACCTCTAAAATTGGGTTCAAACTTATAACTACGTGTGGTTTGAATAAGGTTACAAGGTTAAACAATCAAAATAAGGTGTACCTCTAAATTTTTTTGTGAGATGTAATTTTGGTTCCGATAATTCTTAAGATAGTGCGAGAATTTATTTTTATCTCTAATTTTAAAATTTGAAACTTCAAATATGATTCAAATCAAGTATCATGAAAATGGGCGGTCCAGATAATGTAACCCTATATTAAACTTTTTCCTCAAAATATTAGCAGGATGTAAGGTGTGGTTTGTACAGAGCCGAGGCTCTAAACAATAAAATTAGAGCCCACATTCAAATAGTGTATGAGAAATGTAGTGCTAATATCGAAAATGTTTTACTAACCTTAAAATATATTTTTATCTTTAATTATAAAATTTAAAGCTTCAAAAATAGTGTAGATCGAACAGATCTATGAAAACTTAAATAACTTAAAAATTGACGGTGCACAAATACCTTACAATATGCATTATTTCCAAAACTTGAAATCTATTTGTTTCTCAAGTCCATGTATCTTGATGTTTAGATGATGAATTTGAGGATTTGGGCATCAAAACAACCTCTTTTAGTGAAATTTTTGAGGTGGGCTCTAATTTGATTGTATAGAGCCTAAGCTCTATATAAACTTTTCCCTATAAGTAATTGACAACACAGAACCAATAGGTACCCCACCAGGTTTAATTTGGATTCGACCTAATACATCTATAAATCATATTAAAAAATGATTTGTATCATAAAACTTTTATTTTAAAAATATTATAAAGTTCCTAAACCTTACTTAAAAAGTTTAAATTTTTTAAAATTTGTCTCATACTTTCTATTTTTTTTTTAGTAATTCAACGGAAAAGACAAACCCTACCCGTTTTTTTTTCAAATAGATTAGGAAATATAATTTTGAAGGTGTTATTGATAGGATCGAAAACCGTAATGTGTGAGGGGATGTTACCACTTTAGCTCATTTATTTAAGTGTAAGTCAGTAGGGATTTGTGTCCGTACTCTCTGATGAGAATGGAGTGAAAGACCTCACCATGAAGCTTAGGCTTACAATACTGATGCTAAGGCCCCAAGCCAGTCAAGCTGGTCAAGCCAAGTTGCATACTCAGCCCTTTCGACTCAGCATTTATGGAGCAACCCACTTGTCCAAACTTTTCAACCTTGGTTGTAGTGTTTTAGAACATGGATTAGTAGGGTAGATCGTTCACCTATAAATCTGTCGGAGGTTGTTGGATCCCAAATCATTTCAAATTGGTCATCTAAAAAATATTTAAAAATAAATTAACTAAAGGAAAATTGTTTCATGTAGAGTAGAAAGTGTAAAGCATCCATCTTAAAGATGGGTTCAAGAAGGTGTTCCATCTAAAAACAATGGTCCAAAAATTTTTTTATCAAAATTATTATTTTTAGTTTTCAAAATTTATTTATTTTTTCATATCTTTAAAGTTTAAGCCTTCAAATCTATCTCCAAAATAAATTAATTAATAAGCCCGCGTAGAAACTGAGTTCTAAACTTAAAAACTCAATAGGAAATTTTTTTAAAAAAAATTAAAAATATTGAATAGTTTTTTTAAAAAAAATGAAAACTGAGGGATCCATGACTGATTCGGTCCCGACCAATTTTCAAGGTGGCAACTTGGCTGGGGAATCAAATCGCCGGCGTTTAAAACAATATCAAACCGGCATTAGAGATAATGACAGGGGCACCTAGAGGAACCCCACCCTATTTATACCCCTACAGAGATTTCCAATTAGGGTTTTTGGCTGCTAATCATCTGGTGAATGGCTCTGTCCTCCACGGTCTCGGCCTTTCTCCACTTCATCTATTCAGGGTTTACGATTATACATATTTATAATTTTTTATTTATTTGCAGAGATTTGAAGTTCTTAGATTCATACATTTTGTCTATTTGGGGTTTTAGAGTTCATGGAAATAGGGTTTTTTTTTTTTATTGCATTTTTCGCTTAAATTATTTATTGACTATGTTTTATACAAATATTGCGATGATGAAATAGTGTAATTCGAATGGCGTTCTCTGAAAGAGGATGCTTTGGTGTGAAGCTCAATCCTGAGCGGTTACCTGAGCGATATTTGCCTTTTTCAAATTTATTTCTCATTTATCTATTGAATTATTACTTTGTTCTTTGACAAGAAAAACTAACCTCGTTTTATTTTTCTGATTTTGCTTTCTTTTTTTTATTATCATGGTTTATGTTGCAATTTTTTATAATTTATAAATATCTATTTCTGGTGTTTAATGTAAAGATGTATAAAGTAATGATTCAGGAAATGTAGAAGAAAAAAGGAAAAATTTTAGTGGAGTTGAGCGAATTTATTCGTGCAGTTCTGAATAGATATGATGAACACTTGATTTGTGATTACCTGGGGGAGTTATCTAATGAGTGTGGTTTGTATAGGCTGGGGCCCTAATCAATCAAAGTAAGGCCCTTCACATATGGGCATCAAAAAATGGATTGAAATTTATTTTCAATCTCTAATTATGAAATTTCTAGTTCCACCTTAAAAAATAGTGTATATCAAGCATATATAAGAACACTTAAAAATATTGAAAAGATAATGCATTACAAGATAGGCTATTTTGATGTGAAGTCCATTTTTTTTTAATGTCCATGTATCTCATGGTCAGCATTGAAACACCTTCTGTTGAAGGTTTTTCAGCATTGAAACACCTTCTTCTACTGATATTTTGAAGTACACCTCAATTTGATTGGTTAGGGCGTCAGCCTTATACTTTTTCCTTTATTCTAAATGCAAACATGATACATGAACCATTTAACATTCTACATGACTGCTGATTTTTACGAAGATATATGATCACGAGTTTCGATAAATGATTATGAGTTCGAACAATTGTAAAGGGGTAAAACATTAAATATTTAATCCCTTATAAAATTTTGATAAGTTTTCTTTATTAAAATTTAGTTTTTAAATATGATAAATATAAGAGATTACCGCATGCATGCCTTTTAAATATGGAGATGAAAAAAATGTACGTGTCAAAATTTTGGAGATTATGTTTTCATGAAATTAGTAATCTTGAAAACAATTGTTAAAAAAGTAGTTTGTGCTCAGGGGATGCATTTATGCACAAGATGCATGTCAAAAAATGGTAGCTCCACAAAAATTTAAATCGACTGTGTTAAAACTATATCAAAGAATGTTTATTTGTATTTTTAAAATTCATTTATTTTTGCAAGTTTATATTGTGGTTGAGATTTTCATTCCCTGAAATGTTAAATCCAAAATCCATTTAATAGATTTTGGAGAGAGGACTCATGTAAATAGGTAAGACCGACTCATATAAATCTCATCTCATAGATAAAGTACTTATTCAAAAAAGGGTGCGGTTTGCATAGAGCTGACGTCTAATCAATCAAAGTAGAGCCCATCTTTAAATGGTGTCGAGAATTGTGGTTTTAACACTGAAAATATTTGTGATATCTTTAAAATATATTTTTATCTTTAATTATAAAATTTAAAGCTTGAAAAACAGCCTAAATTAGGTATATCTAAGAAAGCTTGAAAATCTAAAAAATTGACTGTGTAAAAATGCATTTTACGATCAACATTTTCAAAACTTGAAATTTGTTTTTTTCTCATTTCCATGCAGCTCGATGTCGAGATGATCGATTTGAAGATATTTGGACATCAAAATAATATCTTCTAGTGAATTTTTTGAGGTAGGTTCTAATTTGATTATTTAGAGCCGGGGCTCTTTATAAATTTTTCCTTTCAAAAAAATGGTGCGGTTTCTATAGAGCCTAGGCTCTAAAGAATCAAATTAGAACCTACATTCAAATAGTATCGAGAAATGTAATTTCAATATTGGAAATCTTTGTGATTTCCTTAAAATATATTTTTATATTTATTTATAAAGTTTAAAGCTTAAAAAATAGTGTAGGACGACATATCTATGAAATCTTGAAAACTGACGGTTCAAAAATGCGTCATAAAATACACTTTTCAAAACTTGAAATCCGTTTTTTTCTCATGCCCATGCTTCTAAATGTCGAGTCTGATCAATTTGAAGATATTGGGGCATCAAAACAACTTCTTTTAGTGAAATTTTTAAAGTAGGTTCAAATTTGATTGTTTAGAGGCACCTTGAAAACCAATTTAGATCGAAGAATGGGCAATTTGGATCATCATTTTGCTGTGGAAAAAACAGTGAACCAGCTAAAAAATCATTTGAAAAACTAATTAACAGGCAAAAAACGTGTTCAGATTGATCAATTGGCAGTTCGGATCGTCGTTTTGGTATAGAAAATCGCTGTTTTAACATTTGGTTCTTTTTTAGATTTGACTATTTTTTATATATATACAAAATTGAAACAAAATGATTGATTTCCAAATCGGACCGAGTGAGTCTCTATTGCCAACCCAACGTTTTTTAAATCATTGAAAGAAACTAAATTTCTTTCTGGGTGTACAAGTCAAGTAGCAGTATTTGATGCGCGGACATGCCCATGAGCCAACAACCAAAACACTCGTGCAATTTTATCAAATTTCCATCCACCCAATAAAAATATTTTGCACCGAAAGAAGCTGATTTCTATAGCATAAGATCCATATTTGATAACAAGAAGCTGATTATATGCCATAAGATCCATGTTAGATAAATTTCACATCACATTGTATAGATTAGGAATATCACTCTATAAGCCTAATGGCCTATATAGCACAGAATGAGTTGCGGCCGGATTGAAGGAGAAAAGGCGATCTGGATGGCTTAAAACGGCCATCATATTTTACCTCATTCAGGATGGCCCAACCCCTATCCCTTCCAGAAGAAAAATACTTTACTGATGCACAAATCTAGTCTTTATTACTTTTTCCTTCAATCTAGATTGTGTAGCCTATACTGTAGTATGTGCTCATCCATAAAACAATAAACACGAGCCAATATCAGACACAAGCAAATGTTAAAAGAGAGGCCATGGCTGGTGGTACAAAGAATTGATATTGAAATGCATTTCAATATCAAATAATGCAAACACTTAAAATAATTTATCAGCAATTAACTCACAAAAAAAAAAAAAGAATAATTCAACAAAAAAAAAAAAAAAGGTACCGGTAAATGGTATTTGACAGTTGTAGGCATATTATTCCAAGGTCACAAATTACATCAAAGAGCAAATAGAATTGAACAAAACAAATCATGTTGCCTTCAAATCTCGATCTTAAACGTAAGGATTTAACTATTACACAACCCTGAAACCCATGGAAATCCATGGTCTTGCTGGACCAGGAGAAAGAGCACGCCTTTAAAGAATTTCATGGACCAGTCTCCCCTTGCCCAGCCTCGAAACGCACAACAATACAAGTGATATTATCTCCACTGCCTCTGCGATAAGCTTCTTGAGTTAGCCTTTTGGATGCCTCTTCTGGATCCTCTATGGACTTTATCATGGAAACAGCCTCCTGAATATGAAAAGACTTAAGAATATATCATCTATATCTAAATTTAGTCATCAATGAAAATTTTGAAAATATGCAATCTCTATCCATGTGACTAAGCACCAACAAATTGCTACTTCTCTATGCTCTTGGCCAGTGTTTTAAAACCTAGATCGGGAGGCTGGATTGGTCATAATTGCGCCAATCTGGATCCCTGACCCGAATTGAATCATATTGATTCTCCAAAGTGGGCATTGGTCCAAATATAAACAATATCTGAAAACAAAATAAGTAAGAAAATAAAATAAAATGAATGGGAATCTGACATTCAGCACATCCGGATTGCCTGGTTCCCAGATAGACTCACCCGGTTCTTCTCCAATAGAACCGCATTAATTTGTCAAAATTAGACCGATTCCCGGTTCTAGTTAGGAACCAGGTCGGTCCCCATTGAGACCCAATCCGGAGCACCGCAATTTCAATCACCACCATTGGTAAAGATCTTAGAGCAAATTCAGGTAACCTTTACAGCAAAATGTGTTCAAAGCAACATGTGTTTAAGAAGTCTTACAATTAATTCAAAAGCAAGCTTGCTAGTCCATTCAAATCTTCAAAGTAGGAAATGGTCTGTGTGTCCTTGTCTATAGTTGACCAACATACAACGAGTACATGCATTATGCATTATCAAATAAGATTCTTCTTAGGTAGTATTGTATTGCTTAATACGTATAAGTGCCAAGTTTCCTTTGTGCATGGTCTCTAATCTTCTATGGAATCAGCATCCTAGTCTTCAAAACTGATATATATAATAGGTAAGATAGCTTCTAGGGTAATTTATCAAAATACACACATGAGATGATTAATTTAGCATTTTACCCACATCATTTTATTTAATTTTAGAATAACCCATAAAAATATCATGGTCTTGAGTTGGAAGAATTACAAATGGATAAAATTTTGAAATGTTCATCTTAGAGATATTTTGATCAATTTCCCAAGATTCTATAAGCTAACGCGTATATAGTTCCTGCATAAGCCGAGCTCCAAAATACATATTTATTGGGCCGAAATTTTACACATCTTTGATTTGAAACATAAAAAATTTTTTTTAAAAAAAAAATTTGAATTCTTAAAGCCCAGATCCATCTTCAACCATAGGGATGACCTACGTTCATTGAAAATGGTGGACTCCTCCCACTTTTTGCATGAATTCACTTTTTTATTTATCACCTAGACCAGATCATGGACCCCTATTTCTCTGAGGGGCTTACGCTAAAGTATAACCACGTGGGTTTATGTAATTATTGCCTACAATAGGCCTTAGAAATTGACAGCGACTATTCTCATAGAAGAACAAGCAATTGAATATCAGAACGGAAAGAAGTCCCAAGGCTGGAAAAAAACCTCGTTGGTAACGACATCCCACAGACCATCACTAGCAAGAATGAGAAACTCGAGAGAATTGTCAATCACCTCCTCCTAAAATTCACAAACCAACATCCGTCAAGTCAAACTGTCCAACTTTAATGTATTTATAATCAAGGAATCCATCAAATGCATCAACAACTTTGTGGAATAACAATTTTCCAAAAAATGAGAAAAAATACATGCCATTTTAGTAACCCATGATGCAGGACTTTCTCTACCATGACAGATTAACTTATGAAAAACAAGTCATTTATCATTAGATAGTTCTCTGACCTTGATTTCAGGGTCAGCCACAACATATTGCTTCAAGAGTTTATCACCAAATGCACGAGAGACAGCTAGAACACCCCCAACTCGCCAAGTGCCTGTAATTGGCATACTAATCAGTCCTCGACCAAATTACCATGAGAAAAGGTATGTTTATAAAAGGGAAAATATACTAAATGACTTGGGAAATAGTGTGATCATGGGGACCATATTCATCACATCGGTGTTTTGAATAGTAATGGTTGTGGTTCCCACCAAATATGTCACTAACTTAAATGTTGGATGATGGTAACCTTACGAGCATAATGTTTCCATGGCATGTGTCATGGTAAATAAGACCTTTGGTGAACAAATTTTCCCAGATCTTGGGGTTAGACTTGATGACTTGAGTATAAAGGGCACAAATTAGTTCAAGTTTTGAATCCCAGCTATTGTCGCCTCCCACCCATCCCACTAAGAGGAAAAAACTCACTCTTTCATATCCGAAGTCGAAAAACAAATAGCAATCAAATTGTCATCTTACCAGCCCACATCACAAACCCTCCAGCATTCTCAATTCTTTGCCTTTCGTCACTTTGATCTGGTTTATGATCACGTGAGACAGCTACAGCTGCATAATCAACAATACGTTGGTTTCGTCATATGAGCATGTTTCAGAGGAAAATCATACAGCTACACACAAACACATACGCAAACTATCTATCTATCTTTTCCATCAATCTATCAGTCTATATAGTAATGTAATTTGAAGGCAAGTCACTATTTGTAAACGATGAATTCGTAACATAAAGAAGAGATAATTTGTAATAAAAAAAAGGTTAAACTTTGTTGCTTACCATTTCCATCCCTACAAATAACAGCCCGTGAATCCCCGACATTCGCAACTACCAAACGATCACCAACAAGAACAGCAGTGGATGCTGTTGATCCAGCATCTCTCTGATAGTTATCATCTATCTTTAGGAATTCTGAGTCTGTATGATTATAGGCATCGGCTGCAAAAGTAGGAGACCAAAAAAATATTAAGTTTTAAATGAAACAAAAAGATCTACAAGTAAAAAGGAGGCCCATAAGATCACCCAACAACAATTATAGAATAAATTTGGGGGTCAAAAGAGAGGACCAAACCTATGGCTGATTTGGTATCAGAAAAGAACTTCGGATGAGTTATCAAATTGCTAAAAAGGTTTTGTTTCACATACTCCGCAGCCTGTGCACCACCATGACCTGAACACAAATTTCACCATAAATTCCAAATGTTGAGAAAAAAAATCCAACATGAGATACAACTATAAAAGAAATTTCTATCCACAAATATTGCACTATAACAATTGCAAATTATACACAAAATGTGCCCAAGGTTTGTTTCCGACTACTCATCAACCTGCTAAGAAATTCTAACAAGATTAGATCGCTTACTAATTTTAACACTTACCATCAAATACGCCAAAAAGACCAACAATTTGTCCATCAACACCACACACTCTGGTCTCATAAAAATCTTCCATGGAAGACCTTTTCCCTGGCGAACTTGCATATCCATAGCTAAATTTGAGATTTTGACTGTGGCAATAAAATAAGTAACTAATTAGTATCATTTCCTCCTGGACAATGATCTTTCGCATTTAGTAGGTGAAGCTTGGAAAGAATCAGGGTCACCTCCTAATTCTTAAACTTAACATGATGTGGTATTCGAAAGCCTCTTCTAAGATGGTACATAGAAACAAGCAATAGATGGAAAAAGTGAAGAATATTCATCAACTCAAGAACGACCAAATTATGCTATTGCTACTCATGCTCAACTACCCAACATAGATGCCATTTTGGTGGCAAAGAAGCTATACAAAGATCAAGACATGGGTGTTCTCTCAGGAGATGAAAACACTAATTCATGTAAGGGTGGTGCTTCCTTCTTTTTTTCTGTCTTGAAAAGAAAGGCTTTGATTCAGAAGTGGCTTCTTGGATTCAAAACTACCCACCTTTCTCAATTTCAATAGGATCCATCAATCCAATAATTCAATATGAATTTACATGAGGTGACACGCACTGTGGTTCCACATTTAAAAAATAAAATAAAAAAATTCAATTATGAATAGCACAATAATGGCCCCAGCTTATTGTTAAATGCTTCTACATAGTTTGTTGGATCAAAATGCAATTTATACAATGGCGCTTATTCATATGATGTTAAGAGGTCATAGCTCAAACCTGTGCCTTCAATGTGAAAATGGATTAAAAAACAACAATAAGATGAGCAGAAAGTTTTAGATTTACCTTCTACCTCCTCCACTAACTCGGGCTTGTTCGAATTGTGTGCTTGTTGAAGAGAAGCCAGAATTAACAAACCCCATGATTCCTATAAGCTTGTGACACTTTTTTAAATTACTCTGATCATTCAGAATTGAGTTTCTCACTCCCCTTACAAACTTCGATCATGTCTAAGAAACTTGATACAACCATCAAATGAGGACCATGTACTTTGCAGTTTCTAAAAGTAACCTGCCCAATAAAAAAGCTTAATACATAAGCAAAAACATAAATGAGATGATTGAGGTAACAAATAACAAAGGAACCAGTTTAATTGAAAATAAAGTTGCATCTGGAGCAAAAGCTTATTAATATTAACGGAAATAAGACGGCCAGATTAACAAATAACAGAGTAAGCAATTTAAATTTTGAGAGAATAGGATTACATTTGGGACTAAGAGCCTCTATATCAAATTAGAGAAAAAGCCATAATTTTTTAAAATGAAAATCGGGAGAGAAAAACTAGGCTCTGGTGAGAATTGAAATTTTGATATCATATTTTGTGTGGTGTAATAGATGCTTTTGTAGTAAACAGTTCTGAACAAAGCTCTAAATTTAACATATTAGCATCAAAGTTTTCTCAGTTTTGTGTTTCCAGCATGCCAAGGATGAGAACCCAAGCAGAGGAAAACAATCAATCGAGAGAGAGCTCAAATCTTCCACTACAGAGCAATCAAACTGAACAAATGATTAATCTGGACAGCTATGACACCACAAATTTCACCACAAGTAATCAAAATCAAAACAGATCCCATGAAAACCAAAAAGAAAACATCAGGAATCTCGATAACTTACAATCACATTCCATAAGGAGCAAAACCCAAATCCAAAATCCATTTTTTTCATAAATAACAATCAGCAATTACTAACCCATGAAATAGCATAACCGAGCCAATCAATTAACACACCAAACCATGACAAATTCAACAATTAAACCACAAAATAAAAACAGAGGAAAAAAAAACAGAAAACCTCAACAGCTGATTAATTAATATGGTTAATTACGTCCAATTCAAAGAGCATAATCACATGATCGAAAAAAGAGGACAGAGAAAACTCAAACCTTAAACGTCGGAAGAACAATGTGCGGAAGTGGTTGAGAATGCCCCAAATGTAGAGAGAGAATTGCCCCAAACTTTAGAGAGAGAAAGAGAACACCCCAGATATAGAGATAAGGCCACAAATGGAGAGAGAGAGAGAGGTAAACAGAGAGAGGTCACTGGTTAGAAAGGTCACCAAATAAGAAAAGAGAATATAGAGAGAAACCCCAGGTGTAGAGAGAGAAAGCCACAATTGGAGAGAGAGAGAGAGAAGGCCGCGAAATGAGAGAGAGAGAGATGCGACTGGGTAGAAGGGTCACGAAAAAAGAGAGAGAGTAGAGAGAGAAAATGAGAGGTGCAGAACTGCAAATAACCAACAATGAAAACCTCGGTAACAAACCAAAGCACAGATACCACCAATACCATAAAAACAGGCGGGACACCTCCGTACCCGAGGTGCGTGACGTGTCGGCTTCTCTTTGCCCCTTTTACTTGGTCAACAGACAACACCACACAATGATAAAGATCAAAATAAATAAATAAATAATTTCTTTCTTTTTCTTCTCCTCATTTTTTAAAAGACAAACAACGTTCTAATGTAGAACTACGCATGCCCCTGAAAAATCCATCGGAAAAACAAAGCAGTTTTAATGTAGAAAAACAAAGCAGTTTTTGATCGTTTCGATATCGAGATGTATGACCATGAAAAATAAAAAAATTTTAAATCTCATAAATAATATATTTTACAGCGTATTATCTATATGGTCCACTTTCAAGATTTTCATTTATTTATAGATCTACTTGATTTTAATTATTTTTTAAATTTAAAATTTTATAATTAGATATAAAAATAAAATTTAAGATAATCTTAAAAACATTTTACATCAAAATTATATACCATGATAAAATTTGAAGGTGCACCTTACTTCTATAGCTAATGCCAACTGCACTTATTTTTAAATTCAGTACTTAAGTTTTGGAATTTGGTATTAAAACATTCTTAGGGGAAATTTAGATGAGTCGTTGACATTTTATTTTATTTTTTAGGTTTTTGAGAAATTTTGGTAAATATTGGATTTATTTTTGGGAAATTTTTATTCTTGATTTTAGAGAAAATTGGGCTTCATTTTACCTGTGAGGTTTATTTGTTTTCTTTTAGGGAATTTTATTTCGAGAATTTTAAAAAAGAAATAGAAATTTGCTTTGGTTTTATGGTGTCATTTATGATTATTAGGAGATTGTGTGTAAAGAGACCATTTATCTTTTGTACATGGAGGTCACAATTAATATTGTATTTTAAATTTCATAACAGGTAGTTGTATCGGTGTCGTTGAATAAATAAAAAATTCCAAACAAAATATTTACAGATTTTGTGGCTCACTCCGAATCATCACATCTAATAAGTAAAAATGATTAATGACTTCCATGTACAAAAGATAAATGGCCCTTTTATAAACAGCCTCGATTATTGGAGGTGTTTGAATGAGGAAAAACTTTATCTACCTTGAAGTATAGAAATTAGGTGTGACTCAAATATCCACCCTAAAAGTTTGTTTTGATGTCGAAAAACCCTAAAAGTGATCATTTCGACTTCGAGATGTATGAATATATATATTAAAAAAAAAAGATTTTAAAGTCTAAAATAAGTGTATTTTATAGCACATTATCTGGATCGTCCATTTTCAACTTTTTCATCTGTTCCTAGATTTTTTTCAATCGATATTATTTTTTAAGTTTTAAATTTCACAAATTGGTTTACGAATAGGTTTTTAGGCCATCATAAGTGTTTTCAAAATTGAAACTGCATCTTTTAGCATGAGCTAGAGGTGTGCCTTACTTTGATTGATTGTTCAAGGTTGACACCTTATACAACTACACCTAAACTGTCGAGCACTTACATTTTTGTTATTTAAATTTTTATTTTGGGAAAATAACCTCTTTGTTGGGGTTAGGGGAATTATTTTAGGGGAAATATCCATGTACCTCTTATTTTTGGCTTTCATATCTTAATAGATTGAAAGATTTAAAATATACCTCCTAACTAATTTTATTCATTTTTAACTATTTTTTTAGCCTTAACAAGTATAAAAAAAACACTCTCGTTATAAAGCTCTCATGATTTATTGCTCCCTAAATTTATCTCTTTCTCTCTCCTTGTCATTAGCGGGGAATAGAAGTGGAAATTGTGAGGCTCCTCCAAGCTGGGACACATGAGGCGAGAAATGAAGGCCTCAAGGCTGCTCTGGTGAAATCATTTGCTCCATTTGAAATAAACGTTCTAATCAAACCAATAATTCCATGAAGCTCTGACTCTGTACTAAAAAACCAGATTGAATCCAATGGAATACATACAGCATCGTTCAGCCTTGCCATATCAGCCAAAGGGATCAAACGCTCTGCAGATTCCCAGTTATGGAAGCTTACTGCAGTTTGAAACTTCCTTCCAAGCTCTATACTTTCATTTTATTTTGTCCTTAAGGCATTAGAGCTCTTATTCACGGCATGCATCTCTGAATTTTCACCACAAACCCTCTTAAATTTATCTGATTGCCTTTTATTGCTACCCATCTTAGAGTTCACTCTCAAACCCCCCTAATTTTGTTGAAGCACTTAGCCTCGTTACCCATCTCAGATTCCCCTCTAATTTTGTCAGAACTATTATGGCTATACCCACATCATAATTCTCACCACAAACCCCTCCAAATGGGTCAGAATTCTTATTAATGGAATCATCTCATAATTTTCTTCACAAACATCACTAAATTTATCATAAGTGCTTACACCGCTGCTACATTCCCCTTTGGCAACTTTGCCAACGTGACCCAAACCAGAGTTTTGTCACCACTGAAATCATGACACAGTAAATTGACTCCACCCATATCTTCTAGGTGCACAAACGCAACTTTCATAGGTTCACTCTTCAATTTGTCAGTAAAATCTAGGTGTGGTGTTTAGAAATGATGTTTTTTTTATGTTTATTTGGGGCAAAAAAAAACAAAGGTTTAAAAGAAGTAAAGTCAGCTCAGAGGTTAGGAGATACAAAATTTAGAATTTCTATGACCCAATGTATATTTTGAAATATTGAGTTTATCAATATATAAAACTTAAAAGTAGGAAGTATGGAGATATTTTTCCAATTACTTTACCTCAATTTTAATTTTTATAAGGGTGTGGTTTATATGACGTGACAATTGCATTTGAAGTAAATTCCTTATGTTAGACACAATCTATTTTAATTTTTATGAGGGTGTGGTTTATATGATGTGACAATTGCATTTGAAGTAAATTCCTTATGTTAGACGCAATCTATTTTAGTGTGACGGTGTAAATTTAGCGTAACTCTATGATATATGGAAAAATAAAGATGGCAACAAACTTACTTGTAATATCTAGCGCCTCATAAAAACTTTTTCCTTTTTAAAATTTGATTATCACTTTTTGGTACTAACTTATTTTTATATTTGATGCCATTTCATATCCAAAGATACTCCGGTTGAGTTGAATATAAATTATGAGAAAATTCCATTATTCCATTTTCTGCATGTTTATTGAAATGAATAAATCAATATTAGTTTTAATTTGCAATGATTTAAAAAAAAATAAAAAATAGAAAATACAATACTACCATGAGAAATTTGTCAAAAATGCATAATATTCAATATTTTACACATTTTTATTGAAGTTTTAAAAATTCCACCATAATATCTTAGCTAGAATAGTTGAAATAAGTGAAATGTTAAATTTCGGTAAATTAAGCATATTATGATAAATTTCATGCAAAATTGAAACATAAAACCTTGACAACCTAAAAACAATAAATAAAAGATGAGGTTTACATAAGGTGTCAAACTTTATACGTACCTTAAGATTAAGATTATGTTGAAAGATGAGTTTCAATGACGAAAAGCCTTGCAATGGCATGGCCCTAAATATGAAATTGAAAGCTATGCATTTTGCACATATGTACAAACAATTTAAAATTTAAAAAATAGATTATCTAGATAATGCACTATTGGATGTATTATTTTTATGACAAAGTATTTTTTTTATTCTTTTCCATACACATACATCTCGAGACTTAGATGATTAATTTGAGATTTTTTTTTTTTCAGCATTGGAACAACCAATTTCGATATAATTTTAATACATAATACCTTATATAATTATTTTTATAAAATAATATATTATTTTTTATTTTTTATTTATAGGGAATAAGTAAGGAACAATTGTTTCATGCGGGCTGGACAACATTTGTACAATATACGGTCCAGAGGTATAAAGCATCCATTTCAAAGAGGACGTGGTTTCCATGTGGTCAGCCCCACATATGTAGAAATGAAGGCTTCTTAATAAATCTATTTTTTAGATGAATTTTAAGACTTAATTTTTAAGGGCATGTAATCTCTAACATGGAGATCATGAATATGAAAAAGTAAATAAATTTTAAAAACCAAAAATAATATAACTCTAGTAAGAAAACATTTGGACCGTTTGTTTCCATTGTTTTTAGATGGAACACCTACTTACATCCATCTTTAAAATGGATACTTTACACTATCTGGACCACATATGTAGAAATGTGGTCCAATCCGCATGAAACAATTTTCTTTTTAAAGATGGATGCAAATAGGTGTTCCATCTAAAAATAATTGTAACTAACGGTTCAAATGTTTTTTTAATATAATTATTATTATTTGTTTTCAAAAGTTATTTATTTATTCATATTCTTGATCTACATGTTAACGATTATATATTATCTAAAAATTAAGATCAAATAATATTTAAAAAATATATCTATTGTCAAACCCACATTTATACATGTGCGGGCATGCTAACCAGTCCATAAGTAAGCTTTCGTTTTAAATTCAATATCACACCTCAATTATGTCATGAATCATGCTTACTACGTGGCTTCCAATTACCCTTGTAACCTGCAAAGCCGATAATAATAAATAAATACCAAGGAGAGAATAATAAATAAATACCTAACACCATTGCTCTGTCTGGAATATCCTGTATATTTACTTCCTTAATAAATCTATTTTTTAGATAGATTTTAAGATTTAGACGGTAAATATGAAAAAACAAAATTTTTATAACTAAAAAGAATAATTCTAATAAAAAAACATCCAAACAATGGAACACCTACTTGCATCCATCCTTAAGATGGATGCTTTGCACTTTTTGGACCGCATATACAGTGCGGTCCAGCCCTCACGAAACAATTTTCGTTTAGTGAAATATTTTGCAGCTCATCTAAAAAGATGCTTATTTTTTAAAAATCACTGGATAATTAGTTTTCATGTGGACCCAGATTTCTTCAACAACTTGACCTGATCTCAAACAATCGGACTGCTTTTGTTTCTCACGCATTAATTTTTTGGCACATTATAAAGTGTGGTTTATTATTTATACTTATTTTTAATTTAGAAAAACACGGTTATAAAAATAATAGATTTTTAAATTTTCAACACTTAGGGTCTCACCCTCTAAAACTCGACTAGGACATCATTTGTCCTCGAACATACATGATTTCGATTTTTTTTTGGATAAATTAAATTCTGGGTGGGGTTTTTATGAGTTAGTGGACTCATCTGTCGATGTGCGTCCCCCCACTAAAATCCATCGAAAACATGGATTTTGGATGGAAGGATCCATAATCTAGGATATAGTGATTGAGTTTAACTGGAGGAATTAAATGCATAATTTGGTCCGGCGGGAGGACAAACCTCTTGGCAAGATGGGCATGACACTGACACCACTTCCCCGCTTTGTGCGGGAAAGGGGGCGTTCGACTCGCATTTCTTTTAACCCTCCCCCTTTCCCGCCAAACCACAATAAATCTCTCTCTCCTCCCCGCGTTTCTCTCTCTCTCTTCTGTCCATACAATTTACTGTGAACCTCTTTCTCTCTCTCTTTGCTCCTGTCCTCTGCTCTCTCTTCTCTCCTCTCTTTACATTTTGTTGTGAATCTCTTTCTCATTCTCTCCCCCTCTCTCTCTCTCTCTCTCTCAAAAACACCTGCTCTCTCTATCTCTCCATAGCACATTATCTTTCTAGAACACCCGACTACAATTTGAAGGATTCATCTCTGGCGCTGCACAATCCGTTTCGGATCGGCTCCATCTACATGTATGCAACTTTTGGGTTTTTTTTTAATTCTTTTTTAGTTTTGAGAATGTTGGATTCACATTAGATTTCACCAGGTTATTGAGATTTGAGAAATGATGTATATTCCTGAAAATTTAATGTTCTTCCTCCATTTTTTGGTACCCAATTGTAATTCAAGAAAATTGGCGTTTTATTTGCTTCATCAAAAAAGTCAGGGACTTGATGATTTTTCTCTATATTTGTGAACCCAATTAAATTTCTGGGCCAATTGCCATGTGATTTAATGTAATTGTTTTCTTTTGTTGATCAATAATGTAACTGAATTGTTTTGTTTTGTGCTGGAAAATTGGTGTTTTCTCTGCTTCACTATAAAATCCAGGGACCGTCATAATCGATAGACGGTTGTATTTGTATAGATCATTCTGGTTATGGAGGTTTACATGGTGAATATGCCCTCACTTTCAGTGTTGAGCAAGATTTCATGTTTAAAACTCTGCATTTGTGTGTTTTTCTAGCTGTCTTTTCTAATTGAGTAAAATGCTATTTTATCGGTCATATGCATGAATAAGATTGAAAGAGAAAAATCAGTTTTGTTCGAAGTTTAGTTGTTTCCACATCTTCATATTGAAAAAATTATGAAAATTTTCCAATTAATAAATTGAAGATTGCTGTTTCCACATCTCCAATTATTTGAAGCTTAGATGTTTTCCATACCTTCATTGCGAAAAAATTGAGGAATATTTATGTTTTTTAATTAGCAATCTGGTGAATATATTTAAGTTAATCTTCTCTTCTTTTCCTTTTTTTTTTCCCTCTTCTGCATAAGTGACATTCTTCTATTTTCTTTTTGTTGCAGTTCTATGCCTTGCAGTGCGAAACCATCAATGTGCAGTTTGGTTTGTACATTGAGACTAAGTGAAAAGAATCCACTCTCCTACACCAAGAGGCCCAACCCTTGAAACTTGGACCTATATTATAACAGCTTTTTTGTTTCTAAAACTATAGTGCATCAAAAACCAAAATGAAAAAAGGGAAAGGGAAAACACAGAAAAACAGAATACTTGTTCTTTTTGAAATCCCGGGCTCAGCCTCATAGAACTTAGAAAGAGAGAACCTAGAAAGGAAGAGAAACACAAAACCAAGAGAACTCCTTTCGGTTCAACCTAAAAATCTTATAGCTATTCTTAATCCTTAGATTTCTTTGACCTCAAGCCGTTTCTCATCTCCAATCTGAATTCACTGAAGTGAGAAGAACAGTAGGAAAAAGGAGGAAAAGGACATAGAGAAAAACTGGCCCTTATATTCCTCCAAATAAAGAAACCAAGTGGGAAGAACAAAGAAAAAGGGGCTACATAGATTTACAGAAAACGTAACCTTTTATTTTCCCAATTAAGCCTAAATCAAGAAGCTAAAATCCCTGACTATCTTTCAAGCCCTATATTTGCATGTCCTAACAAATTATCATTCTCTCCCCACAGTTCCCATACAAACAAAAAGAACTCCATATTTTACCATGGATTCTCTAAGTCACAACCCTTCAAAGAACTCTGCCTCAAGGCCCCCACCCACTGTTAAATTCGCGAGGCGCACGTCGAGTGGTCGCATCGTTAGCCTCTCAAGAGATGATGACTTAGACATGTCGGGTGAGTTCACTTCCAATGACTATATAAACTACACAGTCCACATGCCTCCTACTCCAGATAACCAGCCCATGACAACTGATGCTTCCGCGAAACCAGGGGAACAGCAACAATATGTTTCCAATTCAATGTACCCAGTAGACCCAAAAAGAGTAATGAGAAAGGATAGGGGAGAAGAGGAGGCTTACAACAATGGTGGGACTGGTGGCACCGGAAATGGGATAAACCCGAAAATGGATCGGAGGATGTCGGTTATGAAGTCGAGTAAGTCTATGCTATTGCGGAGTCAAACAGGGGATTTTGATCATAATAGATGGTTGTTTGAGACAAAGGGGACATATGGGTATGGCAATGCATACTGGCCTCAGGATGATGGCTATGGAGACGGTGATGGTGTGATGGGAGTTAGCATGGCTGATTTTATGGACAAGCCATGGAAACCTTTGACTCGAAAGGTCCAGATCCCGGCTGCAGTGCTTAGCCCTTACCGGTACGCTCAAACATTCGTTGTTTTTGGTTTGATTGCGGTTCAATGTGGAGGACTTCTCTATATTTTTCCAAAGAGTGTGATAATTTAAACTTTTTGGGCTCTTAAATATCCAGTGTCATTGAGGAAGAAACTGTTATGACTGTTTTTGTATCGTGGTTTATTACTTGTTTGTTTGAGGTGTTAAAACCATCACCAAGGTGTTTAGCTTGCATGAAGTTTGTTTTGGATTTAGTAGTTAAATGGGGTTTACTGATACTACATTGTGTAAACCTCCACCAAGATTGTTTGTTCATGTATTATCTCTCTAGCAAAAGTTTGAAGGGAAAAAAATATATATAAAAAAAAGAGCATGTTTGTTTGCACTAGACTGGCACCATAATTAGAGAGAATTAGTAAATGCCCAAAAATGATTTGAAGGGTGGAATAATTGCGCAAGTATACTATCATATCCAGTGGCAACGTATGAAACCAGAATCCATTGAGGTCATCATCATCCAATAAAATGGACTAATGATGAAACCAGTTTTCAGAAGATCGGCTGGACAGATGTACTCAGCCCTTGGCCGACGTGAGTAACTCGGCCGTGTTATGTATACCCAATAAAAGGGAAAAAAAAGGTTAAGAAAAGATACAAATTTCTTACAAATCTTTAAATATCAGATAAAATTAAGAATTTCAATAGAAATCATTAGGAGACTAGATAAGATGAAAAAGGGTTGTAAAAGATGAATTACTGAAAATTTTGATTTGTACCATAAATATTTCAAAAACATATATATACAAATTTCCAAATGATATTTTTCTTCTTGTTTTTGGTGCGTAATCTTAAAAACTAGTAGAATCTTCTAAGAAGTATTTCTAACCAATAAACTAGTGTTTTCTAATTTTTTCATATTTTTTTAGGAGTTATTTGGGCCTGGCAAGTTGGGCACCTAACTTGCCAGGAACTCACCTCCAGGAACTCGCCTCACCACTAGGACAAGGCCAAGTTACTCGGCCGAGTTGACTTCTCTGAGTCCCGTGACACCGGATGAAACATTGGGATCCACCATTCCAATGTCATGTTCTGGTGTTTCCCACTCCTTTCCATAACCATCCATATTTTAATTCGCTGGCAATCACCTCATGCATTTCTTGGTTTCATATCAGTGGATTATGGCATACTTTTCCTAAAAATTTACATCTAAGTTCTAACAATCTCAACATTAATAAACAAATAAATCAGTATAATTAAAGGAGATAAAGGAAATATGATACGATGCTCGTTGAAACCATGGTGAGAACTGCGCAGGTTGCTCATATTTGTGAGGCTGGTGGTGCTGTTCTTTTTCCTGATATGGCGAGTCCAGAACCCGAATGAGGATGCCATGTGGCTATGGGGCATGTCAGTTGTGTGTGAGCTTTGGTTCGCCTTTTCGTGGATCCTAGACCAACTCCCCAAGCTCAACCCCATCAACCGAGCCACTGATCTCACTGCCCTTCGCGACAAATTCGAGCAACCCTCTCCCTCCAACCCCATGGGTCGGTCTGACCTCCCAGGCATTGATGTCTTTGTCTCCACAGCTGACCCTGAGAAGGAGCCCCCGCTTGTTACTGCCAATACGATCCTTTCAATCCTAGCTGTTGACTTCCCGGTCGAGAAGCTCTCATGCTATATATCTGATGATGGGGCTGCTCTCCTAACATTCGAGGCCATGGCTGAAGCAGCAGCCTTTGCTGAAATGTGGGTTCCTTTTTGTCGAAAGCATGGGATTGAGCCGAGAAACCCTGATAGTTATTTTTCAGTGAAGGGGGATCCTACAAAGAATAAGATGAAACCAGACTTTGTGAGAGATAGGAGGAGGGTGAAGAGGGAGTATGATGAGTTTAAGGTCAGGATTAATGGTTTGCCTGATGCTATTAGGCGCAGGTCGGATGCGTATAATGCGAGAGAGGAAGTGAAGGCAGCAAGGGAAGCAAGGGAGGCAGGTGGGGAAGGGGGGCTGGAGGGGGTGAAGGTGGTGAAGGCCATGTGGATGGCGGACGGGACGCATTGGCCTGGGACATGGGCGGTGCCAGCTCCGGACCACTCTCGGGGAGACCATGCTGGAATCCTTCAGGTAAAGACTCATGCAAGAGAGAGAGAGAGAGAGATCGATGGTGTTGCTCGTGCACCGCCCATGCAAAGTTGGGTACGAGCGTACACATAGAGTAGTGATTGCACACACAGAATAGAAAGAGAGATTTGCATGCAGAGAAAGAGAGAGAGAGAGAGAGTCGGTGCGTGCAACTACATAGTGAGGGTGCCGATTCCGGTGCCACATGCACAATGCTGCTAACTGTGCTCCCATCCATGCACAGGTGATGCTGAAGGTCCCACGCTGCGACCCGGTCCATGGCCATCCGGATGAGAACGCTCTTGACTTTACAGATGTTGATGTGCGCCTCCCCATGTTTGCTTATGTCTCTCGAGAGAAACGCCCTGGCTACGACCACAACAAGAAGGCCGGTGCCATGAATGCCTTGGTGCGAGCCTCTGCCATCCTCTCCAATGGCCCTTTTATCCTCAACCTCGACTGTGACCACTATATTTACAATTGCCTTGCCCTCCGAGAGGGCATGTGCTTCATGATGGATCGGGGAGGCGATCGAATATGCTATATCCAATTCCCCCAGCGCTTCGAGGGCATCGACCCCTCAGACCGCTATGCAAACCATAACACTGTCTTTTTTGATGGTAACATGCGTGCACTAGACGGCCTTCAGGGGCCTGTCTATGTGGGCACTGGCTGCCTCTTTCGACGCTATGCACTTTATGGCTTCAACCCACCTCGAGCATCAGATTACATGGGCCTCTTTGGCCACCACAAGGAGAAGGGGAGGTCGAGGGCCCTGATGACGCCAGCACCAGAGGGGGAGTCTGAGACCCAGCCTCTTACCGCAGGTAGCGATGATCTTGTGGACCCAAAAAAATTTGGGAACTCGGCTATGTTATCCGAGTCAATCCCAGTGGCCGAGTTCCAAGCTCGACCACTTGCCGACCACCCAGCAGTCAAGAACGGGCGCCCCCCCGGTGCTCTCTTGGTCCCACGAGAGCCTCTTGATGCTCCCACTGTGGCTGAGGCCGTCACGGTCATCTCATGTTGGTATGAGGACAAGACCGAGTGGGGCGGGCGCATTGGCTGGATTTATGGCTCAGTCACAGAGGATGTTGTCACGGGATACAGGATGCACAATAGAGGGTGGCGCTCAGTTTATTGTATCACAAAGCGCGATGCATTTCGGGGGACTGCACCCATCAACCTCACAGACCGTTTGCACCAGGTTCTACGGTGGGCTACTGGCTCTGTCGAGATCTTCTTCTCTCGGAACAATGCATTACTTGCCACCACACGTATGAAGTTCCTGCAGCGCATTGCCTACATGAACGTGGGCATCTACCCCTTCACCTCGATCTTTCTCATCGTTTACTGCTTCCTTCCAGCCCTCTCTCTCTTCTCCGGTCACTTCATTGTCCAAACTCTCAATATCACTTTTCTGGTCTATCTTTTAATAATCACAGTGACTCTCTCGTTGCTTGCCATACTCGAAGTGAAGTGGTCAGGGATCGGGCTCGAGGAGTGGTGGAGGAACGAGCAATTCTGGCTCATTGGGGGGACTAGTGCACACTTAGCAGCGGTGATCCAAGGCTTGCTCAAGGTGATAGCTGGAATCGAGATCTCTTTCACTCTCACCTCCAAGTCCACCGCAGAGGACGAGGACGATGCCTTTGCCGACCTCTACGTAGTGAAATGGACAAGCCTGATGATCCCACCCATCACCATTATGATGGTGAATTTGGTGGCGGTGGCTGTCGGGTTTTCTCGGACACTTTACAGTGAGATCCCGCAGTGGAGTAAGCTCTTAGGGGGCGTTTTTTTCAGCTTCTGGGTGCTTGCTCATATGTATCCTTTTGCGAAGGGATTGATGGGAAGGAGGGGCAGGACGCCGACAATTGTGTATGTCTGGTCGGGGCTCATTGCCATTACCATTTCATTGTTATGGATTTCCATCAGCCCGCCAAAGGATGCCCCTGGAGTATCTGGCGGGAACGTGCACCTCTCATAGCTTTGCTTTAAACAGGTCTTTTTTTGTATGCTATTTATTTATTTATTTATTTTTTTTGGGTTGAGTTAGTGGGGCCCTTGCAGGATATCATATTTTTTGTCAGATATTAACATTTGTTCATTTATTTATTTTTAGAGCTGTAAAAGAGGAAGCTTTTGGAGCTCGGACAATTCTTGTTATTTGTTTTGGTATGTCAATACTTTTACTTCTTTATTTACATCAGAATTCGGATTATATCTAGATTTGTAGTTTATCTCATGCTTTAGCCTTGTGTGTCGTGTCAATATGTGTCCACATGACACCTTTAGTTTATTAGAAATATTAGAATAGCATAAAAGGGCTTATTATAAGATTTAAACTCTTGCCGTTTAGTCTATTTGGGAAAAGTTTTTTTAGAGCCGAGGCTCTAAACAATCAAATTAGAACCTACCTAAAAATTTTTACTAAAAGAGATGGTTTTGATGCCCAAGTATCCTCAAATCCATTGTCTCGATATCAAGATACATGGACATAAGAAAAAAATGAATTTCAAGTTTTGGAAATAGGGTATTTTGTAACGAATTTTTGGACCATCAATTTTCAAAATTTTCAAGTTTTCATGGATTTGTTGATCTAAACTATTTTTGAAGCTTTAAACTTTATAAATAAAGATGAGAATATATTTTAAGGCTATCAAAAAGATTTCTAGTATTGAAACCACATTTCTTGACACCATTTGAAGGTAGGCTCCATTGTTAGAACCTAGGTTCTATACAAACCCAATAATCAGAAAGACGTGTCTAGCCGTATATGGCTATGGCTTTTCAGGCACCTTCAATACTTGTCGATACTGACATTTATATAGGTGTCCATAGCACACTATTTATTTATCTCTAAATAACCCTCTCTCTCTCTCTCGTTAGTGATCTCCATGTCTATTAGTACCAAGCAACCAATGTTTGTTTATCAACTAAACCAAAGGCAAGACAATATGCGAAAATATTCTGTGCACAGCAACGCCTCAATTCATTTTCTATAGTTACCAACAATTTTCATGAAAGATAAATAAATAGTTATTAGTTATTAACATCACTAGTGACTAATAAAGTTACATTTCCAAATAAATATAACCTTATTGAAATAAGAGAATTTTTTTTGCTATAAAAAGATAAAAATAAAAGGGGAAAAGTTGAAAACTGATGTTTAATAGTGTATTGAAATCTGTTGTCTTCACACATGGACCTGAGCAAAACCACAAGAACATTATAAGATTATACCCCACTATTCGGAGTTGCAAAAAACAAAAAAAAACTTTGATTCTTGAAAATTAAAAACCATACAATAAACTATAATCTCACAAAGGAAGTCACCACCCTACAAAGGCTTCACTAGATTTGTCACGGGGGCACCATTAAATCTTAATACATTACCCAACAATTTATTATACTTGTAATTAACCCACCTCTCTATTTGGGAGTTGCAGCAAAAAAAACACCGTGGAGAAATTCACAAAAAGAAGTCACTAACCGCACAAAAAATACTGCGGCAATCCATTAACCCCAAAAAAGAAGAGGCAAACAGATCAACATGGCAATAACTCTTATCCCTTCTTTTTTACTCTTTTTCTCTTTGTGTAACAGCTAGCAAGAACATGGAAGACTAGAAAATAAATATAGGTGCAGTATAAATTATATGGGATTGTATACCATAAGACCATTTGCCTATAGTAAAGAAAGGATACAAATTATACAATACCAAAAGGAAACAATCTTATGCTATAATTTCCCAAACCATATTTGTGGGATAACCAAGGAGAAAATATGGTAGTTCTGTCAAGTCAATGTTTAATAGAAGCATTTGAGCAAATCATTATTTCATTTTTGTTTTAGGAACAAAAATTCAGAATATCTAAGTTGCGCCAATATTTCGCCTTTGAAATCTGATCCATAATTTATTGAAATCGAGTATCATAATAGGCAAAATATAAATTTAGGCTTTAGAATGTTAGATTTCCTCTGTTTCAAAAACTTATGTTGCTGAAATTTTGACAAACAATTTCATGTTTGAGCATGTATACCGTATCCTGTACTTCTGCAGAAGCAAACTATATACTTCCTCCCCTGGGTAAAACAACTAATTAGGACGACTTTTTATTTGAAAATTTTGGATCCACTTTAGAGTCACCAAATGAATATTTTAAAACATAAAAAATATTGATTTTGAGTTCATAAACACTTAAATCTGACAATCCAAAAACTGGAAGCTCTGTTCAATCTTAGGATGTTACTTTTTTAGGCACATATAAAGTGCTTATGTCATTTTTCTTTTTCTTGTCAGATTGGTTGATAGGTTTAGGACTTTGCACCCCAAACTTGGGGTAGGATTTTAGCCAAAGGAGTGAAAGTAATATGTGCTCCCATGGGAGTATAAAATCTATTAGCTTCCCATTATGCTCTACTTATTCCTCTGAATTGGAGGATAATGCTTTTGTAGTAATGTAAACAAACAAGTAATGAAGCCATGGCATTGGCACTGAAAACCTAGTAAAGGATATCGTGATCCCTCTCATAAGCTTTTACAAAACATTCAAAAATACAAAATATCTGAGGAACGCATAAATAAGTGAATATAGTGTTCAGAAAATGGAACTTCATTGTTCCTGTGAAAAATAATGGCAGAATAAACAGATTGTATAAAGCTGACAAGCGCATCTAAAGTCCAAATTCATTAGAGTGGACAGCATAGCCAGAAAACTGTAGAGAGAGAGAGAGAGAGAGAGAGAGAGAGAGAGAGAGAGAGAGAGAGAGAGAGTACGTACGTACGTACGACGTACGTACGTACTACGTACTAGTAAGTAAACGTAAACGTAAACGTAAACGTAAACGTAAACGTAAACGTAAACGTAACTAACCTAACCTACCTACCGTACC